TTTACAAAAGTATCAATTTGCCGGAATGCCGTGGCGGCATCAGGGACCCTCAGGTCATTTATAAGTGGTCAGACCACCGCGGCAATGTGGCACAATCGTGTCCGTTTTATAAAAGATTAGGCGATGGCGCTCCAGTTTGCCATCTCAGTTGATTTTGTTCAAAAAGCAAAACTTATTGCGTGTTTGCTGCGTGTGGCCGGAGCTCATCATTAACTCCCCACGTCATCATGACACTTCCCTCTGCTGCGCCATGGCGCAATAGTTGTTGATAGGGTAGACCGATTTCCATGACATTACCACCAAGCGAGACGGAAGCAATGCCACAAAATTTGATGCTGTGGCAAAAAGATGCTGTGGCCTCTTAGGGGTAAAAGAAATAACTTCTGAGTCGCTCCTGTTTTCTGGCTTCTGTAACTCTGGAGCTTTTAGCCTGCTGGAATCAAACGACAAAGGCCAGCGCTGCAGCGTTCGCTGCCACAGGCTGGACAACCTCACGGACTCACAGTGATGTTGATATTTTGTTTCTTGTTAGGGGAAACCCCGACTGCCCACATTTACGTATATTATGGTTTAATTGCCTGTTTAGTTTTAGTTCTGTTTAGCTTTCAAATGTTCTGATTTAGCGATGGCTTTGGGCAGCTGCATGGCTGTGTGGAAAGTGCCTAACAAATAAAACGGTACGGTGGTAACTCGCCACAGCCGCCTGAGAAGGAAAAACATGACATTCCAAAACGACTGAGACCTTAGACTGCTTTGTGATATTTCACAGGTGAATTCTTACATTTTGTACTTTTAAGTTACACCATCTTTATTCCCACTGGCCTCCTGAAGGTTTTACAGCTGGACATAATTACCCTGTTGGGTAACAAAAGCATGATCTGACTGAGTATTTTGGGAGTGGGTCTGAAACGGGACTCTGTGACTTCTGGTAGAAACCCTCCTCATCCTGTTTAATGTCTTGACTAGAGACTAGAGTCCGTCCTACCTAATTTCATCTCCTACCTCCCCAAATCCATCCATCAGTGTCTTGTTTGTCTCCTCCAGTCCACTCTTCTCTCCATATTGCTTCACATCACCTCGTGTCTTTTTGCCACTTGTTTTCAGTTCCATCACCCTGCACCCCCACCCCCTTGCTGATGAGCTAGTGCATGAGGCCGAGCGAATGGACGAGCGGGCGTAGCCGCTGATGCACTCCTGGTCATTAATAAAACTTTTATACCCAGTCAGGAAATGCATTTGAGTCCCGGTGGCTGGAGCTCCTCTCAGACACACAGGAAATGGGCGCTTGGCCCGCAGCCAATCCTGCTATTTCAGGGGATCGTCCAGAGCCAATCAAGCGCTGCCTGGTCGGTTAATGATGAGGTAGCTCTGCTCATCTCTACACCCAAATATCAGCAACAACTAGCGGCTGCAGCTAACAGCAACATACACATTTACCATGAACACACATCTTTACATGTATGTATGTATGTGTGTGTGTGTGCGTGTGTGTGTGTGTGTGTGTGTGCGCACGCGTGCGTGTGCGTGTGTGTGTGCGTGTGTGTGTGTGCATGTGTGCGTGTGTGTGAGAGTTTGTGTGTGTGTGTGTGTGTGTGTGAGAGAGAGTTTGTGTGTGTGTGTGTGTGTGTGTGTGTGTGTGTGTGTGTGTGTGTGTGTGTGTGTGTGTGTGTGAGAGAGAGTTTGTGTGTGTGTGTGTGTGAGAGTTTGTGTGTGTGTGCGCGCGTGTGCACGTGTGTGTGTGCGTCATGGTGTGCACGTGTGTGTGTGTGTGTGTGTGTGTGTGTGTGTGTGTGTGTGTGTGTGTGTGTGTGTGTGTGTGCGCGCGCGTGTGTGTGTGTGTGTGTGTGTGTGTGTGTGGAGCCCCAGCAGACAGAAATGACTGTCAGCTGTGTGTTGTTAATCAGGCCAGTTGTGATTGATCCTGGGTGACCCAGAATATTCCTCCCATCAGTTCCATGGTTGCTTCTGTGTTTGAGTCACTGGCTAACCAGGGTTTCCTGGTGCTCTTCATCTATACTTCTAGTTTTACTTGTTAATTAATGTATAATCCCTAACAGTCCGAGTCATTCTACATCGTTATATGAAAGAATTCACGAACGAACCGATTCTTTTGAACAGCTCATAAACATGAACGATGGGAGCCGAGTTGCGGCAGGGGGAGCTGTTCTGTCTCGTTCTATTTTCCTATGCGTGTTTCACACAGATGCACGCTAGTGATGTGACGTTCAGGAACAAACCAATTCTTTTGAACAGGTTTTCAAAGCGATCAATGAGAACCAAGTCCCTGTAGAGAGCAGTTCACCTTGTCTTCTGGTAACCAACCTCCCTGGAAGTCGGTAAAGTGCACCCGCGTAACTCCCACCCACCGCTGTGACGGACGTCGGAGGAATGCTACCCAACCACTCGACACCCTCACATGCAGGGAGACAGTTTCTCTACACATGACATGACTGGTCTCGTTATTCCAGCAAACAAACCTCTAGTTACCGGGCGACGGTGGCACAGGAGTTAAGTGCTCGCCCCATAATCAGAAGGTTGCAGGTTCGAGCGCCGCTCAGTCTGTCGCTGTCGTTGTGTCCTTGGGCAAGACACTTAACTCACGTTGCCTGCTGGTGGTGGTCGGAGGGACCAGTGGGGCCAGTGCTCGGCAGCCTCGCCTCTGTCAGTGCGCCCCAGGGCAGCTGTGGCTACATCATAGCTCATCCCCACCAGTGTGTGAATGTGTGTGTGAATGGGTGAATGACTGATTGTGTTGTAAAGCGCCTTGGGGAGTTTCCTGAACACCCCCCCCCCCCCCCCCCCCCCCCCGAGGCGCTGATACAGTGCCTTCTAGAGTCCTGACTCTAGAAGGCACTGTATCAAATACAGGCCATTTACCATTTTAGTTATAACAGTTCTGTTTTAAAAACAGGAAGGAGCCAGTTTAGGTTGCTGGGCATCTGGTCAGGATGCCTCCCAGATCTCCTCCGGGCACTTCCAACTGGGAGGAGACCCAAGGGAAGACCCAGGACACGCTGGAGGGTTAGGAATCACTGGCTGCTCCACAGGGCTGTGCAGTGGCGCAGTGGTTAGAGCTGTTGCCTTGCAGCACGAAGGTCCTGGGGTCTTCCCGGCCTGGGGTCTTTCTGCATGGAGTTTGCATGTTCTCTCTGTGCATGCGTGGGTTCTCTCCGGGTACTCCGGCTTCCTCCCACAGTCCAAAAACATGACTGTTAGGCTAATGGTCTGTCTAAATTGTCCTTAGGTGTGTGTGTGTGTGTGTGTGTGTGTGTGTGTGTGTGTGTGTGTGTGTGTGTGTGACAGCAGCTGTGGGCATCTGATGGTTTGTGTGTAGGAAGGGGCGGGCGCTCTGTATGACTGGCCAATCACAGAGCGTGAAGACAGTCAGTTACCCAGTGAGGAATTTCCTTCAGCACAGATACAGATATTCACGAGTTGTCTGCACCGGAAACTCATCTTCCTCCAGCATCTGAAACGAGTCCCTACTTTCTACTAAACACCTAAACATTGTGTATAAAGCTGACTGGCTTCTTCAATAACCCCAGCTGGTGTTTATAAATCCTGGTTGTGTGCAACTCTTATTCACTAGGACGATGAACAAATGCTGACTGAAGATGAATGAAAACATGTAGAAATATGGACTGTCCCTTATACCGTGCTGCTAAAAGTCACGTTCAGATGTTTGTTAGCAGGAACGAGACAAGGTCAGTGATCTGTAGAGATAAACTGTCTCCCTACTCTGTGATCCTTTACAGAAACGCACCTGCACTGAAGGTCTGTGCTGTGAGATAGAATAACACTAGCAGACCGGCAGATCATATGGATCGCCATCAGGGACAAAAATAATTACAATCATGAGATTTTTAACACACAAGCCTTTTATCCATTAGCTCTGATCATGTAATCTTTTTTCAGAAACCACCTTGTTCATCTTTGGAGGAAAAGATGCATCTCGTTGTCTTCTCTCAGATAATCTCATTGTCTGTGTCTTTTCCTCGTCTTTGTGTCTCTCCATCAGCAGTTTGTTTCATCTCAGATCCTTTCCTCAACAGGAAACAGAGCTCCCCCTCAACCCCATTAGGGACCAGTGTCCAGTTACATTAATCTGTGTGTGTGTGTGTGTGTGTGTGTGTGTGTGTGTGTGTGTGTGTGTGTGTGTGTGTGTGTGTGTTTCTGTAGCCTGAGTTCTGCTGAGTAAGAACACAGGAAAACAGAAAAACTGAAAAATTGTCACCCAAATGCACATGAATATCACTTCTCTCTCTTACAAACACACACACACACACACACACACGCACACACACACACACAGAGACACGCACATGCGAGGGGACACAAACACACACACACAGACGAGAAAAGGCTCGTATTACAGTCATGCAGCATTTTCACCGTCATCAGTCACTGATGATGATGAATAAGTGAATTAAAATCTGCTTTTAATCCTTTTCCTTTCATTGGGTCCAGGTTTGGAGACAAACGTAAATAAATGATGGCTAAACAACCCAATCCCACGTGTCCTACATGACGTGTGATGCAGCAAAACTTCTAAAAAGGTTTGATTCGCATTAATTCTGTCATTGCATCTTAAAATGAGCATTTTTTGTTTTAATTTTTAGTTTTCTTCTTGTCACCAGCTGTCCTCTACCAGTTTATCAGGATTGCACTCGTTTCTCACTTCTGGCCTCTGGTGGAGAATCTGTTAAAGTCCTGATATACATTTGGGTTCAAATAAAATAATAAAACGTCCCGATCTTCGTTGTTTCACGAGTTTTTAAATGAGAAGTTAAAATTTCTTAAGTTGTTTAAGTCGAGTTCTTCTCCGTCATGTTGGAAACATGTGGGAGGAGCTGGAGGAGGGGTGTGTATGTGTGTGTGTGTGTGTGTGTGTGTGTGTGTGTGTGTGTGTGTGTGTGTGTGTGTGTGTGTGTGTGTGTGTGTGTGTGTGTGTGTGTGTGTGTGTGTGTGTGTGTGTGTGTGTGTGCGTGCGTGTGTGTGCGTGTAACAGAGACAGAGTGCAGCTCTCAGTCATTCATCTCTCAGAGAGAAGAGAGGAAGCAGGAGAACGATTCTAGAAACAGAAAAAGATTTTTAACATTTAAATAAAAGTTCCTCATCTGATCTGATTCTCTTACTCGAGCTGCTGAAGTTCTTACCTTCTTAATATTCACTCCTTCTTACGTCTTAAACCGAAGAGCTGCTGCAAACGTTCCTCTTATGGGAAATATTTTTAAGGATTCCTGAATCGGAAGCGTCTGAAGGACTGGTCAGCTCTTTTTGGGAGGTGAAGGAGGAGGCGACCCAAAGAGGAATCACCAGGACCGGGTCTCTCCTGCAGAGGAAGAGGAGGAGAGTGTGCCATATTCAGAGAGCGCATCCTCTTCTTCATCATCACAAACGTATACTCAGAAACTAAAAGAGGGACGTCAAGAAATATAGTTCACTGAAGGTGTTCTCTTAGAAATAGCCTCCAAGAGTCCAGAGATAGGGAGGAACCCACAGCAGAACCCGTCTGGAGCACACCAGAACATCTCTGCAGAATGGATCTCAAACCAAACAGAGGTGGGCATGAATTCTTCTAATCTGAACACGACGTACTGATGATTTACTTGACTTTGGGATGAGAAGTTTTAATTTGAAATCAGGTGATCTTTTGGGGGAAACAACTATTTATTACAAGTGAAAATCTCTGGTCTCCAGAATAAAAGCATGTCAGGATGAACTTGAGATGCGTTTTGATCTCGATGTTCAAATGTTCCATCAGTTACTAAATAAGAACAAAAATGGGACGAATATCCCGGATTACACGCTCACGCTGTTTTAGAGACGAATTCAAGATTTAAGAAGAAGTTCATGTAGAAAAATTAAACAGTGAAACAAAAATGACTAAAGAGAATAAAATGAACCCTAACCCAAAAAGTACAACGATATAAAACTCCAACAGCATAATTATGTTTTGGGAATTTGAACGCTAAAAAGAAAAATATTTAAAGGCAAAAACAGATTCCTCAGAAAATAGTTTGTGTCCCAAAGTGATTCGTTCTTCCTGCTGATTCATTCAAAACTCTGCTGTTAAAGTAGAAACGTGTTTGCTTCAAAAGACTTAAAAACAAAGAAGCAAAGTTTAAAAAAAGATAAGAGTGTAAATTAATCCAGAAGAACAAAGTAAAACCAGCAGCTTTTTGCTTCTTTTTTTTCTCTCCTTTATTTAATCTCATTTCTGGAGTTCCAACAACATTTGGAAGAGAATGTAAAGTATAATATTACTGGATCATTTCACATTTGTGCTTAATTATGTCATCAGAGACAGTTAAAATATGCTTTTAAATGTATATTTTAAAATGACGTCACACGTCCGGGCGATGGAACGTTAAGTGTTTTAATTCTAGAGGGAATAATCAGCTCCAGTGTGTTTCTGAATGGATCAGCGGAGGGGACCGGGGATATGGGATTGATCGCCCTCAAGGTTGGATGAGGAATGTCAATACCCATCTCCAGTGAGGTGGGGGTGGGGGGACTGATGAACATGGAGAGGAAGTGTCCTTATATGGGCGCAAAGAGAGAGAGAGGGGGGGACTTTAATGTGCTGCAGAACCACAAACTTATGTGATGAACGAGAATCATGAGAAAGTTTACACTTTTTGCCGACTGTAAACTGGCTTTCAGCCGAAGACCAGTCAGTTACCAGCCACTCACCTGCCAGTCCCATCACACAGGGACACGCCTACGGTCCCAGGTGTTTAATTTGCTTAAATTATGCAATTGCAGGATGTCACCACAAGATGTCGCTTTCCTACACAGTTTGGTTTTTGACACTGTCACAGAAAGGCTCTCATTCAACACAGCAGAAGTTATTTCTTTTTGAAATAATAGATAATGTTAATACTTCATTACCATATATGGGTTATACTAGGAAAGACCCAACAATAGTTAATAGGGCTTTGTTGGTCCTTATTTAAATAGTACACTTAAGATAATGGGAAAACATCCTATAGGTTTGTGTGAGCACTGTCAGGTGGAGGAAAACATTAGGCATGTTATTTTTATTTGTTCGCTGTATGATGATCTACGGAAGCATAGAGCGTTATCTTGGGGAAAAAAATAAAGCTGTTTCTCTGAGTTACTGAACTATTTTTGTCAACTGACTGCAATATGCTTCTGTAATGATCAGATATCTCAGCTAAGAGAAGATTTTATTTAATAATCTCATGATTTTTTGGATTTGTCTTATAGATACTGGGCTTATAAATGGATGTAAGCTCTGATCCACACTCCAGAGCAGTAGGGGCACCTTGCTATCAGAATAAACCCAACCCCCACCTCCCCATTGCACTGAAGCTCATTGAGTGCATTTACATGTAGCCAGTAATCCTTTTAAAACCTGAATATTCACAATAACTCGGTTCCGCACGGCCTTGTAAATACCGCCAAAAACCTGGATATGCTCATAACCGGGTTTTTAAAAACCCGGTTACTACACCTGGGGTAACCCTTTTCTAACCCGAATGTTTGGTCGTGTAAACGCATATCGGGATATCCCCATCAAAGCGTGTGTTCTGCGCATGCTCTGTTCGCAAGGAATCTTGGTCTTTTGAGTAGCGAGACGTCTTGTATGCGCCAGAACACCGGAAGTAAACAACAAGTTGGGAGCAACATGGCGAGTCGCGGCACAGCACCACACTTTTGGAGTGACGAGGAAACTAAAACGCCAACAAACGTGGTCGCTATCTCTTCCGGACTGGGAAACATGTTGTTTTCACGGATACCGGAACAAGAAGAACCCGAAATGACGCATATTGCGTCTGGACGTAGTCCATACGTCCTGACGCTACCCCAACGTCCGCATTTAAATCGGGTTATGCAAGTTAGGGGTAACTCTTTCTATTTATGCTTGTAAACGGGTTATTCTGATCAACTCAGAAACCCGAATACCGACCTTAACCCGATCATAACCCGGATACTGGCTGCATGTAAACGTAGTCAGTGGTGCAAATGTGCCGGTCAGGTAAAAACAGTGTGCCCCTCCTGTGATGCACCAGTAACGGCCCTGTTTACAGAACAAAAGCGGTTGTTTGCTAAAATCCTTCAGAGTGACCTGTCTGTGTTCTTGTGGGGGGTGCAATCCTGTGCTGTTCCAGTATCACTGTTGTGTTTTTCATATAAATTATGCGCATTTCTTTTTTTGCCTGATTTAATAAAGGCACACACATGGCTGACATCTGGCTCCAGTACCGTAACTAAAGCCTAAGTTATACTTCTCCGTCTGCGTCGGGACGAACATACGCAACACCGTTATGCGTCAACGCAACGGGCTTGCAGAGTAAGACGGAGACAAGCCCCACATTTTAACTATCCATCGAAAGAGATGGAGAACGCATGCTTGTGATTGGTCAGCATGCCACTGTCGTCAACAGCGCCGCCATTGCGCCCTCAAAAACGCAGAGAGCCGAGGATATCTAGCGACAGACACGAAGCAGCTCGAAGAATCCTCGCAGAAAAACTAAAAATATGACCGCTACTCACCTGTGACTGGAGGAGTGAAAATATACACAGCAAGCATTTAATCTCTGGAGGGAAATGATGGTAAACGTCGGTTTAGAGGTGGTGAGCACATGAAGAGGTGGAGGAGAATGTTAAAAAGTCTCTTAAATACAAACAACACAATAGTAAATACACTATCCTGGACCGGATACAGGACAAAATACCACAGAACAGCGCTACGCCCTCTGTTGTCCAGAGGAGTTTCCCAGCTCCTGACACTCAATTCTGCAGCTCAACAACAGCACAGTGACATGCAGGTCATGCACTCTGTTGTACTGTATACTGCAGCATGTAGCTCTGCAGAGCATGCTATACAAAAGGTTTGGTAATTTTGCATTACTCACATTGCTAATCAGTTGTTTTCTAACAAAGGACAACAACGGGTCTCAGTTGAGGAAAGTATTCGAAGTTTATTGCTCAGCGCTTACTGCACTGCTTACATTAGTCAACAACAGGAACACAATGAGATTTGCTCATACTTGGTGGATTACAGTAAAACAAATAATGCTCTATTTCAGTTCAGATAAAAAAAAAACCTTTGTCATTGAAATGTCTTTTACTGTACTGGAGCCAGATGTCAGCCGTGTGTGCCATCTATCTATCTGTGCATTCATTTATTATTAATTATAGAATTATATACAATCTGGGCATAGAAGGTATTACTAGGATTTAAAGCTTGTTGGCAGCAGGTGCTACACATTACTGGGAAGCTTCAATTGCTATAAATACTGGTTTCCAACTTCTGTTAGCATCTGGGGTTGCTATATAGCTACTGTACCCCTGATGTTAACAAGCTGAAGAACGCCACTTACAGTAGCAGCCCTCGTAGGTGCCGTTCTTTAAACATATTAGTAAACTATCAGCCGACTGCCTGTCTGACTGGACAAATGTGTGTTAAAAATGTTTCAGTGACGACAGAGCTGCAGTGTTTTGCTTCTGTGAAGCAGGAAAATGAACAAAAGAGCCCACAACAGCATCTGACATAAATAATAAAATAAAGTTGTTTATCTGTTATAGGCGTTCACAGTTTTAACCCTTTGGGCACCAGAGTTTTTTCAAGAAAATAATCAATTTTGACCTCAGTATGCTTGGCAATGGCTAAAGATAAAGGTAAAGTGTGAACGAGAAAAATCTTCTGTAGGACCCAAAGTTTGTGTTGGGAGCAAATTCACTCATCTAATTTGCATATTATGACGTCATCTGACTGCCATATTGGAATGCATAATTTTTACAGATGTTCCTTCTTGTTATAACATATTATTTTAAAATGCTCGTTATATTTTTATTTTTTTATTTATATGTACATAATGCTTTAAAAATTGTATTCAATATTTTAATTTTATTTTTATGATTATGTGGCACACTTTGGCTTCCATACATAACGCATCTGCCGCTTTATACGGCTTGTTTTTACATTGTCGCTATGTCTGTCACATTGGTGTTGTTTTTACCATCATTTTTACGTCCATCGTGTCCCAAACACGGAGAAACATTATATATCTATATCTATATATATATGTATAAACTTTGTATTCTCCAGTGTTTCTAAGGCATACAAAATGAAAATAAAAATGAAAATAACAGAACGTTATAACAGTGCTGTGATGGACTAGCGACATGCCCAGGGCATGCCCCAAATGACTGGTTTTAGTAATCTAGAAATAAATGAGTGTTAAAATGTTTCAGTGATGTGTTTCTCAGCAACTGAATGCTGAAGTGATGGAATGCTGTTTTTTGTAGCATAAAGTTTCTGAGTCACATAGATCTGGGATATCATGGAATTTAGCTAAAAGGCTGAGTAAATAAATGTAAATGTGCCAAAGAGCACTGGTATTTGGTGTGTTTGCACAACAAAAGCAGGAGAACAATGTTTCGTTTGCCCCTCCGCAGGTTGTCTGTGATGTCATTAACAGTTACACCAGCTTTTGTGCTGCTGCGCCCCCTCTGGGATAGTTTCACGGTTGTACAAATGCAAAAAAACGCCTGTAAGAGGGGCGTTTCCAACTCGGCAGGCGGAGTCT